AATTTCTCAAAACTGTTTTGTAATTTTTTTTAACTTAATTGATGGTAAGTTTTGGTTAGTAGTAGTAGAGTGTATTTTCATAGTAATTCCATACTGTAATCTAATACTGGCGTTTAATTGTGCATAAAAATGTAATATCTTAAAATTAAAAACTCAATCCATAAATATTATTTTTATCACTTATCTCTCGCTGTTGCTCCCTATTTTCAAATAAAAGTACTTTTTTCGGTATAAGAATGAGGGTAAGTCCTTATATTTATTTACCTGTTTTAAATCAGGGGGCTGGGGTGCTTATTCTACATATTATTTACTATAGATAGATTTATTTGGTATAAAAATAACAGGTGAGGAATAAAAAAAAATAAGTAACTTTTTATTAAAATTAGCCTAGACTGGCAATCAGTGGGGGACTTATTCATTAATAAATGTTATTATTAAAAAAATATGTTTCATCTGGTATAGACAATAGTTGCTATGTCCGAAATCCACGAAGTTTGGTGCCGTAACCTCCCTACTTTCCAGACTTATTCCCCAGCGACTGTTACCTGCATCCTAACCTTCTAATGGGCGGTAAAAGATTTAATAGCGACGAAGGAGTTACCGAAGCTGTAGATCAATATACTAATATGTATCGGTGTCGAAGGCGATTATATCGGGTGATGCAAGAAAGTAGGAACATTCTATTACTTTTGATCAACTAGTCATTTACTAAAAACATAGTTTTGCCTGAAAACATATATAATCTCAATTTCTGTCTAAACTACACAATATACGAATAAGCAGTTTCTATAAAAGTTATCTTAATGTTTCTAAAAATATGAAAATATGTGTTCCATTTAATATTTTAAAACTAATGTCGGTCCAGCAGCAGCATAATATGTAATTTAATTTAAGCCATAAAAAATTTAAGCCACATTTTTTTCTAACGTACCGTAAGTTCTTTTCTAAAAAGCAATTTTCTAGAAAAATCCCGGCAGATGTATAATTCTAACCTTGAAAATTCAACCATAACCCCATAGTATGGTATGCGCTGTATGTCGTGCGTGTAAAATAGAAAATTTCAAATTCGCTTTCGTTTTCATTTGTTCCCTGTAAATTTCAATAAACAAAATCGAGTTCGGATGCCTGGTGGGAATGGTTCCGGGAGGGTGGTGGAGGGAGGTTCTTGACGTGGCGGAGGCGCGCAGATCTGATCAATCAACAAACAATAAGAGAGGATCGTATCGCACGCGCCGACGATAACGGCCACCATTGGCAATTAAACCTCTCCGAACCAACATGGCGGCCGGAAGATCGGCATCAATCACTTCGCACACGTCAATTAGAGTCCGGAAACGCGTCACTATCAATTTGAACTGCGCCCGTTCGATGTCGTTATGCCGATCGCGTAACCTCTATATTGATTCGCCCTTGGTTTTTTTTTACTCCCCCCCCGCTTTTGTAGGTACGGTTAAAACTCCTGTTTTACTTAAAATTTAAACTTCTTTTGACGAAACACGCTTCTAAAATTTCCGGTGTTCAAAAACCTCCAATATTCTAAACGATAAATCTGGCAACATTGCCGTTAGCATTTTTGAATTTTGCATTTTCAAAAACCCCCGAATATTGAATTTGATTGTCCCAGCCTTACCGGTTTTAAACATATTCAAGCTTTCCTGTACTTTTTAAACGCAATAAAATTTGCATGAGAACTTACTAAGTTCGATGTGCGCAATTCATCGCGATAGAAATAAATAAAGCATTCCATTTAAAATAACAAAACTGTGACGTGTCACGTAAAAGTGGTAAATCTGGCAACATTGCCGTTAACATTTTTGAATTTTGCATGTTCAAAAACCTCCGAGTATTGAATTTGATTGTCCCAGCCTTACCGGTTTTCAGATATTCAGCTTTCCGGTACTTTTTACTGAAAAAGCGGTGTTGGCGTAGCTTAGTAGAGTCCGAAAGCAATCCCACACTCGCCACTGTTGTCCTTCCTTGCATTCAAAACAACACTCAAAAGTTCTCAGGGAATATAACGTCGAATAGTATATTATAAAAGTGCAGTAATAGTATATTATGCAACAACTTCAAAAGTTTACCGAACGTGTCACATACTATACTTTTCATACGACCGTTAGCTTTTGGGTACATCAAGGCATGGGAAATATCTTCGAAAGCATCCGATTGCTCCCAAACCCGTGTGGTAAAATTTTGGGAAACGAAACTGACGTGGCAAAGTGACGCTTCCCACACACTAGATCGGTGTGTAATTAGGCATTTTACAGACGGGACTAGAAAAATCAGATTTAGCACTTGTCCAAAAATCCCTCAACATCTTCGATCCGTCAAACACAAAATTCCTCGAGGAATCCGGAAGATTTATTAGGGTAGCCTGTGGAAGTTTTTTTGAAAAACACTTATTAGAAGAAATAATTATGAAAGCATTTTAGTAACGACACATGGCATACATTATTATTATATCATGTTACAGCGATTAAATTTTTTACAGCTGATTTTGTTACATCTTCCGTGCTCTTCTTCTTCTTAAAGTATTGGCCCGCAATCAAGCCGAATTGGCCATAACAATAATGCAGAGGAATCCATGATACTAACAGATCGCAGGATGTCGAATAAGAATGATAAGAAGAAGGTGATTCAGGGCAGGGTAGGTATCTGATGTTTCGCAGTCTAGGTTTTGTTTGTTAGTAATCGTAATCGTAAACTAACCTCACACTCTTTATTTTCAATTGGCAATTATTTTAAATCAATTTCATGGCCGCCACAATTTACTAGGAAGCAAAGTGATTTGCGCAAAATCTAGAAAACTGGGTGACGTGAGCTGGGATAACAAATTTATTAATAAATAAGGACCCTCGTACGTTGCTACGGAAAAAACGAAGCAAGAAGAGAAAAAACAATGAGAGCATCGAAGGCTCGTTAGCGAAACGTGAGGGGGAGGGGGAGTAAAAAAAATAACAATTTAACGCGGCGACCCGGAAATAATAAGGACCATTTAGCACGCGACCCGATAATTAAAGATCTGAAAAGCGGCCACAATTAAATTTTAAAAAAATTACCGATTAAGACGACTGGAGCGCCGAATTCGCAACAAAAGACGTCCCTCCGGAAAAATCGGAGACAATGGGACGAAGTATAATAGTCGGAGAGGAAAAAAAGGAGAAAAAAGAACGCTCGCATCAGGGCCGGACTAGAACCAAATAACTTTTTTTCGACATGAGACGTTGAGTCTCTACTTTTACACTAACGATATTCAGAAAGATCCGTTTTTCTGCACTTTTAATAAAGAAATATATGTTTTTTTCTTTTTAAAAATATTGTATACGAAACATGTTTTATAATGGAGCTCCTGTATATTTATTAGTATATTACGCAACAAGTGCGGTAAACGGCATTTAACCATTTGACTCACGAGTTTATTTCACACGAGCGGAGCGAGTGACTTAAAAAGTTTACCGAACGTGTTGCATACTATACTTTTCCTGCGACTGTTAATTTTTGGGTACATTTTCGCAAAACAACGAATACATTCACTGCCATGACCGTCAGAATTGAAAAACGTCAAAATTCAAAGCGTAGGAAATATCTCCGAAAACATCCGATTGCTCCCAAATCCGTGCGGTAAAATCCCGGTAGGTAATTAGGTATTTTACAGACGGGAATAGAAAAAAATTATTTTTCTACTTCCGTCTGTGAAATGCCTAATTACACACCGATCCGGCGTGCGGGAAGCGTCACTTTAGCACGTCAGTTTCCTTTCCCACGGATTCGAGATATTTTCGAAGATTTTACCGCACGGTTTGAATTTTGATGTTTGTCAATTTTCACGGTCATGTCAGTGAATGTATTCTATGTATGTATAAAATCTAGTGGACTATTCGCTAAGTAAAATGACATTTATAATTTAAGTTACATAACAAAAATTTTACAAACCGTTTCAATAATACATCTCTCTCTGTCTAACGTACACAGTTAAAAAGAGACAACAATAGCAGAACCGCTCGGAACGATAAATTAATAGGTTTCGTGATGGTCGTAAAAAAAGTATAGTATAGTATTTATCTAACTCGGTAATTAAGCACTCGCTCCGCTCGTGCCAAATAAACTGGTAAGTCAAATGCCGATTACAGCACTTGTTGCATAATATACTATGAAAAGTATATAAAAGAGATTTTGATTTATTGGGATTAAAATATATTTGGAAAAATAAAATTCAGATTATATTGTACCCAATAAATGTCACGTTTTTGTTCTTCTATGGAAACTATTTTTAAGCGTTTTGATATGGAAAGTGGATGATACACCTGTTTCTGATACAGTTGGTAAAATAAATTAATAATAGACTATTATGTTGTTATATAAAAACATAACATAACTTGGACAGTTTTTGATTTGTAGGCATTTAAAATATACAATTTTGATGATCTGTAATAATTGTAAAGTATTGAAAATATACAGATATACTTATTCATACTAATTGTAAGAATTAAGGTTTCCTCGTCCTCAATATACATCCCATTTTTCTTATTCGATCGAAACCATTTTTAACATTATTGGAACTAAGTAATTAGTAATATATTATTTAAAAATTTTATTATTTATTTTATTATTATAAAACGATTAGATGATCTTTAAACGATACATATATCATATTTTATTAAAATGTATTTTCTTAAATATCCATTTCAAAATATGCAACATTAGCTTACCACATTTTTTGACTCTCTGTATAATATGTATTATTTGTTATAAGTTTTCCATCAGTCCAAAAAATCGGGCTTGTAACTGAAATCTAAAGAAAATCTGGCGATACGGACCTGTCCCGCGGCCGAACAAAAAGTGTACGCGACAATCGAGAGAATAAACGAAGCGCGTTCGCCTAAAACTTGACGACGTAATTCTGAGGATGGTTACTTTTTTCGGGCCGGACGTCGTCGTCCGCGGGTGAATTATACGGACCGGACGTGCTCGGTTTTCTCGTTTTAAAATCGCTGGCTTACCGGTTCTTTTGATGTCGATGTCGTTGGTGTCGCGTAGCCTGCCGTCCTGGATATTTCCAGTGGACGAAACGTTATATAGGTCGCTGAACGCGCTCGTGTTGCCGAAGAACGTGCTCCGATCCTAGAACAACGACACCTGCTTAATTTCATGGCGAACCGAGATGGGCGAGTGGCCACAGTCGATTTGCCCACCACGTCGTAAATAAAGAAGAAGAATTTTAACCTCAAAGGCACTACTCGAATTACTTTGCGTGATTTTCGGTGCTTTGGTTGTGGTTTAGCAAATGTGGTACGAAATTGGACGTCGATCGCTCAGATACTTTTTTCCCTCTGTCACTTTAACGAGTTAGGTAGGTATGTACATGTGTCATTGCACCAGAATTATTCAGTTAATATCCAAAAATTCGCAGCAAAACAAATACGTCAGCCGAAATTATTCTCGCGTTATTGAAAATTTCATATAAATTAAAGATTGTGTGTTCTATATAATCTATACACGTAATATGTTATACAATTAATTTCTAAAAGATCGTAAGGGGACATCTAGCAGGCGTTGGATACGAAGGATCTGGAAACAGCCGTTTTGACAGAGATACGTCAAAACGAAGAGAATAATTTTATGACATTTTTGTGATTATTAAAGTGCTTCCTTTTTAATTTAGCGAAAAACGATAAAGGTACGTTCTTTTACCGCAGCCATTTGCATAAAAAATATTTTATGTTGTTATCTAGCGCCCAACCGTAATGGTTTGGACGGTATGAACATTTCAGTGCAAGTCCTTTTGGCTGGCGCCTCTAACGGTCACTTTAAAAAGCTCAATTTAAAAATTTATTTCTACGTCCGAATGTAGTTCAGTTTTGGTTAGGCTAAGTTAGAAGTGGTTCGATTTTGAAAAAGAACCAAAAAAGGCATACCTGGAGAGCAGCTTTCGCTTTTTCCACGCTCTGTTTGAGCTGCTCGAAAGTGCTGGGGTTGCAGAATCGGTACGCCGGCCAATCGGCGGACGTCCCGAACTCTTCCGTTTTTATGCCAAGTGGACACGTAGCGGACGCTCCCCGTTTCAACTCCAGCGCCCCCTGGTAGGAGCACGAACTCTCGTACATCTTCCGCCGTATGCTGCACTTCCTTCTGAAATTTAAAACACTGCTTTCCAAATATATTTTATATTCGTTTGATTTATGCATTTATTTATTTTTTATTATCTTTTTGTTCATTTAAATATTTTTTTTACAAATTGTATTACTATAAACTGCCCGCGGTTTCATAGTGATCCAAAAATAAAAAATTATTTACGTTACGTTATTTTTATTTTTTATTTTATTAAAAACATTTCCCGCGGAAATCAAATAATAATATTAATAATAAATGAATGATAAATAATATAACGAATCTACATTTCCATCTATTTAATTTGTTCGTCAAGTAATTTTTGAAAAACTTTAGTTTTGAAACGGCTTAAGTAATCAAATTGATAGTTTTCGAGAAAACTCACGATTGTGATTTATAAATTTTAACATTAAATTTCGTAATAGAAATTTAGAAATATGCTCTGATAGTCGACGGCTTGGGAAAAAAGAAAGGTAATTCTGAGTGTGGTGTGCATAATAATGAGACTTTGTGGAACGAGGACGATATACAATGAAGAAAGGGGGCCCTAAAATGGACCCCTGAGGTACACCCCTATTAGCTTGCATGAATGAAAACTAACTAACCAACAAAATTAATGTTGATTGATTAAAATAGTATTAAAAACTACTGATCGGCTTTCCTTCATGCCCAATAAACAAATAATATAGAACACATCGAAGAGTTGGGAACTTCCAGGGTTTGTTTTACACTACTAAAATTTGGGATGTCCTATTTGTAGAAAACTAGATACATACCAAACACCATCATCTTTAAAATTTATTAAAAAATAAGAATGATATATAAAAAATATATAAAATTCTTTATGTGTCAGTATTTTTAAAACCATTAGATTTAGGTATATGACAGATATAGGTACCAAATTATAGGTATTTTGACCCGCTTATTTAAAAAAAATGAATACTGCAAGTTGAAATTATAACAAAAAATCCTTTAGTTTTAAAATACCTAGTTATTGCATATCGTTAGAAAGAAGTCTTCTAAAAATTTGTTTAAAATTTGATCAAGTAGTCATTACTGCTAGTTATAATATAATTGTGCATAAAAAATTATATATAATCCCAATTTCTGTCTAAACTACACAAAATTCGAAAAAGTGGTTTCTAAAAATTTCAAAATATATAGGGTGTTCCGTTTAAAAGTTTAAAACTAATGTTGGTCCAGCACTCTTCGGACACCTTGTATATATAAAAAATAAATAATTATAAGATTTAATTTAAACTATAAAACTCTTTTTATATATTTTTTTCTAAAATCAGTAGCTCCTGAGAAAAGGTACAGGCCCTTAATAAAGTGCCCATCCTTTATAAATTGTATGAACCTGATGAACGCATAAAACTGAAAGTTGGGTAGGAAAGAAGATGTATCCACTCTGACCAATCTAATAACTATGGACAGACTGTCCATAAAGGCGGTAGAAGCGGCGCTTCACTCACCTCATTTTGGCGCCGCGTTGAGAACTACTCCATTCGGAACTAGACAAAGAAAACCACTGCCGGGATCGCGAACTGTCTGTCGATGACGATCGCGAGATCGAATTGTTTAGCCGCGACTAGAGAAAAACTCAAGTCGGGAGGCAAACCACGTCGCTGACAAACGGCTACGATTGTTCGTTTCCGCTTCAATTAGGGCACAGGAAGAGCTCCCTCATCTCATTATGCACTGTTTTACGAATTTTATTTTTAGATAATCGTTTTTTCTTTATTTTTCGCCCGACGCTTTCCGTTCAACCATTGGCCGTTTTTTTTAAGGAAAGAACTGTACTTTTGGTGCGATCGTATTTCTTGAGTAATTCAAACCTAACTTTTTACAAAACTTCTGGATTCCTCTTGCTTCGGGATTTGCTGAGTCGCACTTGCTGACGTTTCGCCCATAGTCCTGTTGACTTCTTCAGAGCTTGACGGAAACTGCATCTCAGTGGCAACAGTGGCAAGTGTGGGATTACTTTCGGTTTCATTACTGTTGGAAGGTGTGTAAAAGGTAAATTATTAAGGAGAAGAGCAGAGATGAGGTGTTTTAATTCTGGGTTCAGTGATTCGGGCTGAGATTGGTTCCTAATTTTCAGATTTTAATATGTCTGAAATGAATGAAATGAAAAGTATTACAGTAGCCTGTGGAAGTTTCTTTGGGAAATCAAACCTCACTGGATTCCAATCATCTAATAGTCAGAGCTGAACTGAAACTGGCTAATGGAACTTATTTAGAAAATATCTGAAATAATGTTGCAAGTTTTAGGAATAATCCCTATTCTAGGTAGTGGTCTGACAATTGAATGTTACCTGGTTCTATGTTATAAATAAGTATAAAAAATGGAAAGGGCTTTCTTGAAGCAATAGATAAAGATAGAAAATAACTACAAATTTGGATATGAACACATGAACGCGAATGTAGTCGTTTATTTTGAACACCCTGTAGTATCCAACTCAAACTGATATCAAATATGAGTGATCAAATTTTTTTGCGAATGTGAAAACTAATATTTTTTTTAGAAATAAAAATATTGGAAAAACTATTAGGTTTAAGTACTTTATCCAAAAATGTGTAAGTTTGGTCAATCGGCACAAGAAGCTTTTGTATTGGCAGTGAGCCATTTATTCTGTGAACACAGAATTATGCCCCTGTTACGCATGTGTTTCATTCGTTTTCTATACCTTCTATTCCTTTCCTACCCTAATCTTCGTAAAATAAAGATTTATTAGGTTTCTGAGATCTTTGATTTGTATCATCTGGATCATTGTTTCAACCTTGTTTAAGATCGGAATATAACCAGCCAGTCCATTTCTTATATCTTATTGTGCGTTAACTGAATTGTTGCCTTTAATGTCTCATATAATCGTTATTTTGCTTGCTCCAATATAATCGTATTTCATTTGGTCAAAGGTCATTTGAATATCAACTAAATTTTGTAAACACTCTTCATTTTCAATATCCTCAAAGGCAAATGCGAAAAGCAAACTGACAATGGTAGTTGCCCAACTGAAGCTCAATTTACATCGACCAAAGAAAGAAAAAAAAATAGCAATAGCAAAGATGTCATCGACGAAGCGTTTCCATAATTTTCCTGTTAGATGGAAGATGTCGCCTGTTTTCTTCTGAAAAGCTATATTTGCGAAGACTGATGATAACTGTGAACCCATAGGTGTCGCGCTGATCTTTGCTCACAAATTAGAGCTTTACAGCAAGATGTTCCAGCAAGAATTAATAAAGCGAAATAATATCTGAAAATCTGCGTAATGTACGTAATGTCTTATTATCACAGGTAAAACCTATGAGTAACCTACCGTCTACGTGAAAAAATGTTTTTTTTATTTTTTAAGATTTTTAATCGTCTCCCAGAAACCCGATTGCATCTTCTGGATCATTGCCTCTTTCTCACATTTGATACCTAGAAGGCCGACATATGTAGGTTTATGTATTTAACCACAGTAGACAAAATGTATCTGTAGCGAGTCAAAACAAAATAAACAAATACATATAAGGACAATAAAACTCGGTTAGGCCATTTTATATGAAAGCAGATGGGAAAGTCATAAAATGAATACTGAAAAAGTGTTCTACAGAATTCTCTTTAGTCAAAACTAAGAAGAATTTGCGTTCTATATGATTGAGACAGCCTTTGATATCCATCTGCGTGCATAAATTGGCCTGGGAAAGTAGTGGAGGCTAAACAGGCGTTAAATAAATATCTTAAAAGGGGTACCAAGAAGTCGACCATTCTTTAATCAATCGGCTGTTCGGCTGAAGCGTCGAATTTATCTTAAAATGAGTGGCGCAGGTTTTGGTGCCATTTAGTTACGGTTCAAGTGAGCCCCATATCACTGTCAAGAGAAGATGTAACACCCTTGAAAGGTTTTTATGAAGTTTGGTGCGCAAAAAACCATTTGTGCGTACCAGTTTGTACGACAACACGAAAAAACTCACCTTATTTGACGACCGAATCTCTAAGCACTACCGAAAGGATCACCTCACTGCAGGAACCGCCACCATGACCTCGCGCGAAAGATTAAAGTGCCGGCGGAAAACCAAAAAAGAGGATAACCGAAAAAAAAAAACGAACGCCAGGCCGCAGGAAGTCCTTGGCAGCAGGAACGTTCGTCCTGCGGGACGCGCGAAGAATCCGGGGGCGCACTGCCGATCGCGGGCCCGGTTAATTGGCCCGATTCGCAGGAATTGTTCGTTTGACAGATCGGGGCAGGAAAGTCGCAGGAAATGTCGTGCTCGGATCCCGCCGCGGAGCGCCAACAGGAATGGCAGGAAGCAATATCGCAAGTGGTGGTTCCTAGACGGGGCGGGGCGGGGCCCGACACCCCCTCCACCTCGGGAACATCCCCTTCGCGTCGGGGGGTTGCTCATCATTCCTGCTGGCTGCACGCGCGCTCCTGCAGCCCCGCGCAGCGGTGGAATTGTTTTACACCCCGTCGCGGGGATTAAGTGATTCAATGGCGGATTTCTGGCCCGGCATGTGGGAGGAAACGTTTCCTGCCACGGAGACGATCTTTCAATGCAAAAAAGGGAAGAAGCTCCACGCCGTAACCTAACTTTTTAAAAGACGCGTCGATCGGCCATTTTTTACCGTGACAACTGGGTCACGGGAGAGGCTTCGAATGAAATAGAATCAAATTTATTAAATAATGGATATATCAGAGTACAGGGCTATTCAATATATTTGGAAACCCACCTACAAGCTTCATTTTGAAAGATAGAAAAAAAAGTGTAAATACAAATGCAAATGCATGCAAATGTCAGAGAAAACAAAGGACTATAGCAAGCTGTCAAAACGACAGCAACATCATTCGTAGATTTTTTTTCTTGTTTTTGAGATATTTCAGTTTATAAATAATTACCATTCGATTTCTGAGCAATAGCCATATTGTCATATATGCCTTGATAGCAACCATATTATGTATGTTTGCAATTGTTTTAACAATGTTGTACTTTTGACAGCTAATCAAAATCAAAGATCTGGAGAGTAAGTTAAATAACTTGAGATATGTATGTATTTTTTTATGTATGTATGCCCCTCTGGAACAAGTGGTGAAAATTTAAGCCAAAGTACGTGATGCGTATCAGCTTACTAAAAATATTCAAAAGAAAATGACCGATTATTTGAAACATTGAAACAACTTTATCTAAAATGTTCCCAAGTAGATGTTAAAATATGTATATAAAATATTTAAATAATACAGAACACATGCGTATTGTTATTTTTATAACGAAAAGCCTTTATAACAAAAAAAGCAGTCCCTTCAATTTCGCTATATAGAGTTTCGACGGTATCTTAAGTTATTTAACTTGCGCTGCAAATCTTTAGTTTTGATTAGTTAAAGTAGAACATTGTTTAGACTATTGCAAGCATAGATGATATGGTTGCTATCAAGGCAGACTTGACCATTTTTAAACAATATGGCTATTGGCCAGAAATTATTTTTATTATTTAATATCCCAAAATCTCAAATGTTTTAGAAAACAGGAAGAGAAGATCTAAGATTTAATGACAACAGAGCAAAAATCTTCAAACTTTTGTATTTACACTTTTTTTCTATCTTCCAAAATTAACCCTGTAGGTGGGCGTCAAAATATAAATTGTCGAACATTAATTTTTCTACTTCATTTTTGATCGCCCTATATTAATCATGCAGGAGTTCATCGAAGTACTTAGAATGGAGATTGTTATTTTGTTAATTATTTTAGACGGTTAGACTTATGTATAGGTCATTATACATACAAATGAACGGAACACGAAAAATTAGTATGAACTTAATGCCACTTTTCTGTTTAACTTTTGTTTCATAATTCGTAGTTTCTGAGGATCTTTCTTTTAGACACTTCGTATTGGGGACTCGGAGAAAAAACACCTTTTAAAGCAATGTTTGTCACATTCTACGGAAACTGCCGTCAACCCTGTTAGGCCCACAGAATTTCTAAATGTTTATTGCTGTCAATACATGACAATACATGACAAAACATACCAACAATACGAGGGTGGGGTGACAAGTTTGCTGCCGCGAGGTGGCGCCAGTTTCGACCTAATCGCTATGTTATTCACTTCTATTTGAAAGGTTTTACGCCAAAATATTTTAAAGAAGAGATGGATTCAGCATGTTCAACTATTAAGCAGTTGTTGTTTAAAACTGCTTTATCCACTGACTTAGTGGCTGATCATCTTCCAAGTCCTGTTAGCAATTTGTCTCGGTAATAAGTCCTGCATGACGATAGGAATGTTGAATTGTTTCTGCTGTCATCTCTATCCAAGCTTTACTAATAAAGTTTGCTGTATCTAGCATATTAATGGAAAATTTGTCTTCGAACTCGATTATTTCGTATCGACTCTTAATACTTTTTATTACGCTCTGGTCCATCGGCTGTAATACACTTGTTGTTTCGGCTGGAAGAAATGCCAAATCCATACAGACTTGTTTGCCTTGTAAGTGACCGGAAAGTGCTTGATATTCTTAAAACATCGTGGGTTAGTTGATTTGCCAATCACGACTAGCTTTCTTTTTTCTCTCCCACTCATATTGGCAACTACTAACACTGTT